GAACCTGTGAAAGCTTAATGGGCAGATTTGGGAAGGCAGATTCACCGCACAGCAGTGGAGCTTGCAAAGGCTCTGGTAGCTACTTAGGCAGTATAGTGTAGAATTAATCAGGCACGAAAGTCCCCGGTTCTGCTTGGCGGGCGGCAGCGGGGGGGAGGGAGCGGGCAACCGATGGCCGGGATGCTGGCGGCTGGAAGGCGCGGGTGGTCAGCAACTGGGAGTTGCAGCAGTGGGCTGTGAGCAGCACGTGTGGCGTTGGCGGGCAGGCGGCAAAGGAGTCTGAGTCCCCGGTTCTGCGCGCTTGGCGGGCGGCAGGAGCGCAGAACGATCGTGGGGGGGGGGTAGGGGGGCAGCTCCGGGCGTAGAGCGGTGGCGGCAGCGCGCTGCGGCGGTGGCGGGGGACACCCAATGATCACGCGCAGCGGCTGACTGTGTCCGCACAGGGTACACGCAGCGATAGACTGCTGCAGTGTCCGCGAACGGGCGAACAGCACGCGGCAGCTGTGGACAGCAAGCGTGGGGGCGCTGGGCGGCCGGCGGGGCAGCAGGGCTTGTGGGGAAGGGAAAACAGCTCCGCGTGGAGAGGCCAATTGCTCTATTCGCGGTCCAGCTGCAGGTACGCGCAGCGGCCGACTGGGGCGGGCGGCGGGGCCTCGGGCGATGTAGCCACCGCGGCTGGAGCGAACTAGCACTCACCTCGGGATGCCGAATTCAGGCGGTTTCCCAGGCGTGGGCTGTAATTCCAAACCACTTCTGCCACCAGGTATCCTGGTAATCGAGGCTATATAGGGAAAAACAATATATTTATTTATCAGGGAGAGAGAGAGTCGCACATACCAGGAGTTAGAAGCGTGGCTGGCTTCCAGGAGAAAAAGAGGGAGGCCCCTTTTCCTTTCACTACCTTTTATCTCTACCTTGACCCCGCCCTGTTGGGTGGGTAGCTTTGTGGGGTTCACTCCTACAATTCAGAAAGGAGCAAGCCCCCCCCATAGGCTTGAACAAAGCAAGGCAAATTAAGTTGAGGTAGGACCCAGCCCCACCCTGGAAACATTTTCTTAATTGAGGTTCCCTGCTCTACAGTGAATTTACCTTATGTCCAGTTTTTGTGAAATGATCCTATACAGTGTTCTTCTAGCTTGTGTTTCTAGATGGCAGTGGCTTTATTAGAAGCATCATTGCAGTTGTGCTGTCATCTTGTCAAAGATTCAACCAATCACATCTTGAAAATATATGAAACACTGCAGCTTCCATCCTGGCAGCAGGAGCCAATGCACCCCAGTCTCCTGCTCCACTCATGGGACTAGGCAAACTTGGGCCTGTTTCTGGGCTGGCTGCCTGTGGTTGGGGTTAGCCATTGATGCTTCCATCCAGGAGGTAGTCAAAGCACTCCACAGCATCCTAGTCCATTTCTCCTCCCACGGGACCAGGAAGAGGAGAGCTACCAGAGCATTGGACTTGCCTGAACCTATGGGCCTCACCCTCCCTGGGGAAATGAGGGGATAATGGGGGGGGTTGGAGGAGGGCACGGGAGGAGGGGAGGGAAAGGGAGAGGGACCTGGAACTGACTTGTGAAGCAACCTTGTTTCTTATCTAAATTTAAACTGAAAAATAAATAAATTAATTAAAAGTTGTACAATTGCACAAACCTTTCAATAATAAATCTCCCATTACAATTCTGAAGAAAAAAATAAAAAAATAAAAACAACTTCATGAAAATGATAGAGGCCCTTAAAAATGATATGGGAAAATCCCTTAAAGATTAGAAGAAAAAACAGACCAAAAATGCAAGAAATGTAAGAAATGGAGGAAAAGACAAACCTAAATTGCAAGAAACAATTCAAAGAATGCAAGGGCTGAAATCTGAAATATAAACAATAAAAAAACAGAGTCTGAATGGATGCTGTAAATAGAAAAGCTGGGGAAATGGGACAGGTACTACAGATGCAAGCATAACCAACAGAATACAAGAGATGGAAGAGAGAATCTCAGATGTTGAAGACACACTAGGAGAAACAGATTCATAGACCAAAGAAAAATCTTAAGTCCAACAAATCCCTAATACAAAATCTCCAGGAAACATGGGACACCATGAAAAAACCAAACTTAAGAATAATAGGTATAGAAGAATGTGAAGAAACCCACCTCAAAGGGTCAGAAAACATATTCAACAAAATCATAGAAGAAAACTTTCCCAACCTAAAGTAATACATTCCAACGAAGGTTCAAGGGACCCCCCAAATGTGAGTGTCAGTGAGAAGGCCTGGACAACCTATGGGGCTCTGAGCTGTGGATCAGTGTCTATCCCTGGTATACAATCTGTCTTCATGTGCCTATAGCACAAAGAGAGATGCTCTCTCAGCCTGGACTCTTAGGGGAGTGCCTTGACCCTACCAAGAGTAAAATGATAGACTCTAGACATCCCCTATGTGGAAGGATTTGGCAATAGGGTGGGAGGGAGGGTGGAAGGGGAGTGCAGGAGGAGGGGAGGGAGAGGGAACTGGGATTGACATGTAAAACAAGCTATTTAAAATTAAAATAAAAAAAAGAAAAAAAAGAAGCTTACAGAATACCAAATAGAGTGGACCACAAAAAAGACACCTCGACACATTATAATCAAGACCCCAAACATACAGAATAACGAAAGAATATTAAGAGCAGCTAAGAAAAAAAGGCCAAGTAACATATAAAAGTAAAACTTGAAAGAACATTTCTCAACATTATATGGAAAAACAAAAGACTCAGGATAGCCAAAACAACCCTGTTCAATAAAACAACATCCAGAGGCATCACCATCTATTATAGAGCTATAGTCCTTAAAACAGCTTGGTATGGCACAAAAATAGACAGGTAGACCAATGGAATTGAATTGAACACCCTGATATTAACCCATACACCTATGAACACCTGAACTTTGACAAAGAAGCTAAAATTATACAATGGAAAAGAGAAAGCATCTTCGACAAATGGTGTTGGCATAACTGGATGCTGGCATGTAGAAGACTGCAGATAGATCCATGTCTATACCCATACACAAAGCTTAACTCCAAATGGATCAAAGACCTCAATATAAATCCAACCACACCGAAACTCTTAGAAGAGAAAGTAGGAGGTACCCTTGAACGAATTGGTACAAGAGTCTGCTTCCTGAACATAATACCAGGAACATAGACACTGAGATCAACAATTAATAAATGGGACCTCCTGAAACTGAGAAGCTTCTGAAGGCAAATGACATAAGTCAACAAGACAAAAAGGCAGCCCACAAAATGGGAAAAGATATACACTAACCCCAAATCTGACAGGGCTGATCTCCAAAATATACAAAGAACCCAAGCAAAATATTCAAAGTCTCCAAAACACCAAAGGATCCAATTAAAATGTAGATAACAGAACTAAATAGAGAATTCTCAGCAGAGGAGTCTAAAATGGCTGAGAGACACTTAAGAAAGATCTCAACAATCTTTAGCCATTAAGGAAATGCAAACCAAAACAACTCTAAGATACCATCTTACGCCTGTCTGAATGGCTAAAATCAAAAACAGCAATGATAGTTTATGCTGGAGAGGATGTGGAGAAAAGGGAACACTCCTCCATTGATGGTGGGAGTGCCAACTCATACAGCCATTTTGGAAATCAGTATGGAGATTCCTCAGGAAAATGGGACTCAGTCTACCACAAGACCCAGCAATTCCACTCTTAGGCATATACCTAAAAGATTCACATTCATACACCATGGACGTCTGTTCCACTATGTTCATAGCAGCATTATTTGTAATAGCCAGAACCTGGAAGCAATCTAGATGCACCACAACTGAAAAGTGGATAGAGAAAATGTGGTATATTTACACAATGGAGTACTACTCAATGGACAAAAAAACATGGAATCTTGAAATTTTCAAGCAAATGGATGGCACTAGAGCAAACCATCCTGAGTGAGGTAACCCAGTTACAAAAAGACAAACACGGTATTTACTCACTCATATATGGATTTTAGACAAGGATCAGCCTACAATCCTACTGTCAATCCTTCATCCAGCAACTGATGGAAGCAGAGACAGATACCACAGCTATACACTGAACTGAACTCCTGGAAACCAGTGACAAAGAGGAAGGAGTAATGAGAAAAGGGGTCAAGCCATGCTGGTGAAACCCACAGAGACATCTGATTTGACAAAGGGGAGATCTTGGACCCCAGACTTATGGCTCAGAGGCCAGCATGGGACTGACTCAGACCCCCTGAATGTGGTATCTGTGAGGAGGCAAAATCTGGGGGCTTCGGTATTAGATAAATATTTACTATGGTGTAGGAATGAACTTTTGTAGCCCATTCCACATGGAGGGATGCTCTCTCAACCCAGACGCATGGGGTAGGGCCTAGACCCTACCCTGGATGAAATGACAGAATCAGGCGATCCTCCATGGAGGACCTCACCCTCCCTGGGGAATTGTGTGGGGTTTGGAGAGGGGGCCTTGGGGACTGGTGGAGAGGCAAGGGAGGAGGGAAGGGAGAGTGATATGGAATTGACATGTGAAGCAAGCTTGTTTCTAATTTAAATAAAAAATAATAAATGAAAAAGAAAATATATGAAACCAATGATTATTCTGCTGTGAATATCGCCATTCCCTGAATTATGTAGTATAGACTATATACCTATATAAATTAGATATTATAAGGACCTAAAGACAATTTTAAAAATTCAGAATGGGTGTTTTAAAGAATGTTCATAGGTTGCATGCCATTTTAAATATAATGTAATTTTTGTAGGTTTGGCTTCTGCAAAAGGGTGGCAGCACCTACTTGTAAAAAGCAAAAATACCCTTGGCTTTGCAGAATGAAGAATTCTGTTTCTTTTTAGAGTTAATTGAAACAATGATTTAAAGAGCTGGTCTGAGCAAAAATGGTCAAAAGGATGGAGGGGTCTTGAGAGGGCAGAACTTGTCTAGAATTCTTAGTCAGTAGATTGATGTTAATTCTTGCTTTTGGCTTTTGCTCTTCACAGGTTTTCTTAGGTCGCAAAATATATTCAGAAAGATCACCTGGGCTTTCACCCATTCAGTACATTAACATTCCTTATTATGGATTCACAGTAAGTAGTCCTGTCTGTCACTGTACTTGGCTTCTCCAACTATAGCACCTGAAATGATTCCCAATCAAGAAATGTGTCCTGTCCCTCCCCCCCCCCCATGCAGCTGTAATCTCTAAGCAGCTGCTGCCCAGGATTTTCCTTCCAGGAGTTAAAGATGAAAATTTTCCTGTTGGTTTTACCAAAGGCCAGTGAATCATCTTGGGTTTTCCCCAGCCATGTGTTATTTGAGAGAAATAAATGTTGAGAAATATCCCAGGGTAAAGAGGAAAGATAGATGATAATATGAAAAGTATACAGTTGTGATTATGCCCAATAAGGAAATAAAGAAAGGATGAGGGACTATAATACATAGTTTACATCAGGAAACTAAAAGAAACAGAAACCATGTGATAACCACTTCTATATTGGCATTGCCAAGCTTTCTCTGCAGAAAAGTGTATCTTAACAGATTTTCTTACTCCCATAATCACTACTGCTTTTGAAGAAAACAAGAAATACTGGTATTGTTTCAATTAGTGTTTACATGGTTATGGACTGGGCAGAACAGGAGGTGCCTAAGGTCACCTCTTAGAAGTTGGGAAGATCCTTCATTTCCATTCTAAGCCTCCTGAGTGGAGGAGGGCCACTGCATTGTTGGGCAGACTGAACTTGGTGGGGTTTTGTTTGTTTAAAATATTTTTGAGTCTGGCAGTGGTGGCTCATGCCTTTAATCCCAGCACTTTGGAGGCAGAGGCAGATGCATCTCTGTGATTTCAAGGCAAGTGTGATCTACAGAGGGAGTTTAAGGACAGGCTCCAAAACTACAGAGAAACCCTGTCTTGAAACACACCCACAACACACACACACACACACACACACACACACACACACACACATATATATATATATACATATATATATATATGAAATTACAATCAAGATTGAATTAGAAGTTACAGCTATGGTTATTCCTTGGAATCTTACAAAATATTAAACTATTTGTCTTTCCCTGTTTTTGTTTGTATTGCAGGCTTTGCTGCGCGGTGATTTCTTGGGACAAAACTTCTGTCCAGAACACAAACAAGCAGAAATCAGTAGTTGCCAGATCCAAGTAATGTAAGCTGTAGTTCAGGGTCACAATGGGGACGTAGAATGTGCCTAGACATAGAGGGGAAACCCATCCATTCACGATGAATACTCTGTCCCCTACCCATTCCCCACAGTGAGTCATTGTAACCAATGCACATGTGGCTGTGTTTCCATCCTACTGCTCAGTGGTGTAGACAATGTGCAGAAAGGGTTCTTTGGGCCTTTAAAACTGGTGTGTGTGTGTGTGTGTGTGTGTGTGTGTGTGTGTGTAAAATGTTCTACCACAGGATATGTCCTGCAATCAAAGAAACACATATTTCAGTATTTTGAGAAGGAAACCTTGTTTTTGTTTAATGTCATTAAATAGAAACACGGGGTTATAAAATTAAAGTGTATTGTTTTAACCTTATGAGACATTCCTTTCTATGATTGCTCTCATTGATTTGATGGTGATATATCAGTGGGAGAAGAACATGTTGGTATGTTAAATCTCTCATGGATGTTCCAAATAACAATGAATAATAGTAACCCAAATTAATGTTTGAATTGCTGATAAGAAAAAAAGTAGAGGGGAATATCTTACTTCCCAGTCTCCTCTCTGCTGGTGTGGTCTGACATCCTTCTAATACAAATTCCTTCCCAGTCTCTTGTCAGAAGGATGGGCATAGGTGAAGTGAAAGCAGAGGAGGATGGACCACAGACCTCATCCTCACAGGAGGAAGAAGTGTGCCCTTTCAGCAGATATTGGAGCTGTTAAATCCTAAGAGATACAAAAGATGGAGACACAAGAATGGACACGCACAGGCATGGATGTAAACAGGAATTCAGACACACGGGATGTATACACACAGGAATTCAGACACAGGGATGGGGACACAGAGACGGAGACGTACAGGAGATAGTTGTAGTGTATCCAGAATTTTAGCAGCAGCTGAATTTCTGTCCTGTGTCAGGGCTTCTGCATCCTGTGCTCTCCAACCGCCACCCAGGCTCTGTCTGTAGCCATGGGCTGCTGGGGATGCTCCATAGCTGACCATACATGGTTGTCACTGCTGTCTTAGTACAGGAGCTGACAGGAATTGACTCCTCTGAGTCTCCTCTGGCCCTTGGTCTAGAATCATGCTTTGTTGTTTTCCTTGATTGCTTACTGAGTCAGCTGATTTGTACAAAGCTTTGTTCTCTTAGAGTGTCTGTGTGTGTGTCATTAGGAAGCTAAGGTTTTTCCCTTCAGGAGAAACCATGCCTTTGTCCTTTGAAGAGAGAGCAGCATTGTAGATTGAGAAATGAATGACACAGTGAAGACAGTGAGACTACAAAGTTGGATCTTACTGAGATTCAAAACTTGCCCACGTTTACTAAACCTCCTTCCTCTATGCTTCTAAATAGATGTTACAGCTACACCTCTTTGGATGGTTTTTGAAATTAACAAAGAGACCTGATTCAAGTAGTTTTAATTTCATAATATTTAACAAATTAGTAAGTTCATCATTATTGCTCTCAAATATAAAGAAGAAAATTTTAATGATGTGTTGAAACTATGAGTTTTTAGAAGGAAGTGAATTGCTGAATGAGCTTTGACATTATTTTTGTTTGTGTTGAATTACAGATGTACTGGTGAAGAATTCTTGATGAACCAGGGCATTGATCTCTCACCATGGGGCTTCTGGCAGAATCACGTGGCCTTATGTTTTATAATGATTATCCTCTTATCAATTACCTATATGCAGTTATTACCACAGAAGAAAGCAGTTCTTATGTCTGGCTGGAGGAAGATTCAACAGTTGTTTAAATAGATGTGATTCCAACTTATTCTAAATAATAATACTTACACTCATGGACAAATGCTACAGCCTGCATGACTCAAAAAAGATTCCCCCTGTAATTTACTGTGGTGAGTGCAGAGACCCATGGCTGCTCAAGATACCAGAGTAAGTGACACTTGAATGCTTCACCCTAAACAGGACACCTATGCTATACCCTCTTTAAAATTTAGAGCTCTGTGAAAGAGGGGTGAAGGGTTCAGGATCCAGAAGATGAGAAGAAAAGCTATAAATGCTATATTGTGGGCATGACACACAGAGCCATTGCAACCATGGTCTGTCTCACAACATCTACAGCTACCTGTACAAGACAGGGTCTCTCATCTGTTCAGCAAAGGTCGGAGAGGGACTCAACAGGACCACACTCCCTTCTGCTGAACTATTGTTACTGGTAGACTATGGAAGACAGGCAGTCTCTGGTTTCACACTTACACTCACAGGAGAGCAGCTAGGCTCCAGTGGATAGTCTAAAGCCCAGGGTCCCACAGACACCTCTGGTTAAATTCGGTGGATCACCAGATAATTCCCAGATATGAATGTGAGAAAGGGACTCATAAAGAGAGGCATTTGAAAGGGTTGGAAGGGGAAAAAAGGTGGGAGGAAGGGAGAATGGCGTAAATGCATTATATACATATATGGAATTGTAAAATTTTAAAAATATTATTATAAGTATAAAAAGTAACTTTTGTGTAAATTATCTAATTAAGACATTTTCTATTTGTTTTCTATTATGCTCTAATTCAGCAATGACTACTTCTTTTAAAGTTTGTAAATGCAACACATTAATTTTAAGTAACAGAATCCTAGGCTCAAATTAATGTTATTAAGTATTGCATGTTAGTTCATCTCACCGATAATGATCATGAGAGGCAATCGATCAAACTTGTTGACCTGGAAAAGGAGAACTTGTCCTAATAAATCTTACATTCCTAAGATCATTTGTTCACCTTTACAGAGAGATCAAGTATCATCCTCCAAATGTAAGAGCCAATAAATCCTACACCAGAGGTTATCAGCTCCATAAGAAATGTGCCAATTCTGTTTTAAAAGCATAGTTCTACAGCATGTTATAAAAACTATATTACTTCTAAGAATAAAAAAAATGAGCTTGGTGTGGTGGTCCATGCTTGCTGTCTCACTTGGGAGGAAGGAAACAGTAGTCTGGCGTCAACCTCAGCTAGATAGTATGTTTGAGGCTACAATAAGCTACAAAAGACTCTACCTCAAAACAAAGCAAAAACAACAACAAAACCCCACATAGTGAGTGACAATAAAAACATCTTTGATGAGCTCATTAGATAAGATTTATGGATGGTGTCTTGTTAGAGTATCTATTGCGGCAATGAAACAGCATGACCTAAAAGCACATTGGGGACGAAAGGGTTTAATTGGCTTGCCCTTCTACATCACTTTTCATCACTGAAGGAAGTCAGGATGGAAACTCAAAGAGGGCAGGAAACTGGAGGCAGGAGATGATGCAGAGGCCGTGGAGAAGTTCGCTTGCTCATCATACCTTGCTCAGCCTCTTCCTTATACAAGCCAGGATCATCATCCAAGAGCTAGCCCCACTAACAGTTTCTTGGTCCTCCCCAACTGATCATTAATTAGAAAATGCCTTACAGTTAGATCTTTTTTTTTTTTTTTTTGGTTTTACGAGACAGGGTGTCTCTGTATTGTTTTGGAGGCTGTCGGTCCAGCCTGGCCTCGAACTCACATACAGTTAGATCTTATGAAGGAATTTCCACACCTGAGGCTCCTTCCTCTCTGATGACTCTAGCTTGGGCCAATTGTCATAAAACCAGCCAGGACAGATGGATCCATCTCTGTGGTGATGTGATGGCTGCAGATTCTTGACTGGGGCCTCTGGCTACCTATAGTTGCAGTAAAAAGACAGGGTTCTTATAATATTAAGTGGCTCTTATGACTTTTCGAGGTGCTCTGATCTTTTCAGGGTTAACACAGTGGTGCATAATTTTGCAAGAGGGTCTCCTGAGGAACATTGCAGAGACACAGATGTTGAGGCCCTGCCTTGCACATCAGCATCTGTAGAAACTGCCTCTTGGAATAATTGTCCACTCCTAGATATACTGGATCCCCAAATCCTTTCCAGCCCCAGAGATTACAACTATGCTGCTGTATCTGAAACTTCTTGGGTCGTTATTTCCACTGTGTTTCTATAATTTATATTTATAATTTCTTTATTCAGTTCTTTTCCATAACAGGAAAGTACTCATCATTAATATGGCTGTTTTTAAATATCTTACAAACTGATGTACAATGGAACAAAAAGTCCAGTTTGGCTCTTGGTACAGACCCAGTGTGCCCCTAGTTCTTCCTGTTGGCCCTTTCAGTGTTCCTTCTAGCCCATCTGTATTCCTTGTGACTCTGTTGACCCCAGGCTCTCTCTAGCAGGGACACCCAGCTGCCACAATAGGCTAGTTGTCAGGTAGGGGACCTTCATCCTCCTTACTGTCCTCCATTCTGGTCTCTCTACACTTACCCTAAGACCTGCTGTAGCCTGTCAATATGAACCATCACACATACCAAGCCTATTTCTATCCACAAGTGTAGCATGAGTTTTCTGACCCATCTGGCTCCTGCCATACTTGAGCCCCAAATGAACACATGGTCACTATATTAGTTACAAAAATGTTACCCAATGGCTACGGATTCTTATTGGCTACCTCTGTCTTAATTACTAATCCATTTCTATTGATCTATGTATTTCCATGTGGTCTTGGCTTACCAGAGATCTCCCTGCTCTGCTACTTCTTTGCCGACTACATAAAGACTCCTGTCTGCCTACACTTCCTAGAATTCTCTTTGTCTGGTTGCCCCAAGTATCCTTCCTGCCTGGCCAATCAGACTTTTCTTCATCAACCAATATGAGAAACATATATACAGAAGACATTCCACCCATAACACTAGGGACCCAGTCTTTTGTTAATGTCCCAGAGAACTCATAGCTCTTCCATGCCACCCTGTCAGTATCTCCTTCTAGCCAAGCTCTATTCCTCTGTGAGTATCTGATGACTGGCAGAATAGCTCTCCCAAAAGGCTGGAATTTAGTACCCACACACTAGCCACACTTGGTTAGGGACCTTCGTGGGCAACAGCAAACAAAAACAGAACATCTATCCAATGAAGAAAAGACCAGATATTTACACAAAGAAACACTGCAAATATCATAATTCCAGATGCCTAGATCCCAGTGAAGAAACTACAAACATGACCAACCAAGACCTTATGCCTCCTCCAGAACCCAGCAGCCCTATCAAAAGTCTGGAAAATGATCTACTATAAGATCTAATTAGAATACTCTTGGTTATGGACCCAAAGAGCACTACATATTAGGTCAGAGATACTTGCTCATCCAACATGTTCACTGCTTCTCTATTCATAACACCTCAAGTTGCAAACAGCCACAATGTCCATCAACTGTTAAAGACATACTGAAACTGTAGTATATTTACACAATGGAACATTATTCAGATGTTAAGAAAAATGAATTTTCAGGTAAATGAATGCATGTAGAAGCAATTATTCTGACAGAGTTAACCCAAACCACAGAAGGCAAAAATTGCTTGCTTTCTTTGATATGTGGATGTTATCTTTTAAGCTTTAGATATGTGTGGTTCAATATGAATAGCAACCGACATTAAATAGCTAGTAAAGAATTTACAAGGCCACAACAAGACATTTCATGTCACCAAGTAACATGTTGCTTTGAGTGCAAGTAATGGATTATATCATGTTGAGCCATTGGTCAAAGGACTTCCTATAGTTCTCAAACATCACAAATTATTTAAAAGGCTATACATAACCTGATAGTAGGACCCTATTGCTGAAGACCCCCACTTATGTCATTGAACACATAAAATTCAAGCAGGTATGCAGTTGGAATCTTCACCCCCACTACTAACTAGCAATTCATGGTGCTTAAAGGCAATTTGAATGCTCTTAGAGGAGAGAATAACCAGTATCATCCAGTTACAAACTGTGTGACCTCCACCAGTAACATGCATGCAAAAAATACTGGTACAATAGTGGCACAGACCTTATGATTGTAACCAACCACCTTAAAAATATGTTTAAGGTCCATTACAGGAGATGAAGCTTGTATCTGACACTGCAAAAGTGACCAAGAAACTGAGACTACATCGGCCCTGGGCTTAGGGGAAAATTTACTATAAGTTTTCTAAGGAAACACAGCATACAATGATTCTTAATGACATATTGATGTACCTATAGACTAGAACATTGCTCAACCCCCATCAGAAAATCCACTTCTTGAAGTAGATGGTAATTTACAAGGAGAGAGACTTTGTAGCACACAGCCCTACATGGGATGTCTTCATCAAACCCATCTCATCGAGGCTCAGAGGTCTATGCAGAAGAGGAGATAAAAAGGTTTTAAGAGCCAGAGGTGGTGGATGACCCCAGGAAACAGCATCTTCAGAAGCAATAGGACTGATACACATGAACTCACAGAGACTAGGGCAGCTAGCACAAGACCTTCACAGCTCAAGTCAGACAGAATCCCAGCACTGAAAAGGGGAAAGGGCACAAAATCCACCCCAACCCAGAAGCTGTGTGTATCTGGAATCTTCCAGGAAAATGAAAATCAGCTTTCTCCAATAAAGTGTCACTGGGAATATCAGCTACACTCCAGGGCAGGACCCGTCCCAGGGGAAATTAAGTGCTGGTAATTTTGTGTTGTTAATTGTCCGACATGAAACAGAATCTTTGTTGTTTTGTGGAATTTTTTTGTTTTGGTACTTATTGTCTCACTGATTTTGAGAGAGAATCTGTGAGGAGTTGGTGAAAGGGAAAGAATATGATCAAAATATATTACATGGAACTCAGTATATAGATAATAACACCTGAAAAATAAAGCCAAAGCCTAATACATAAAGTCTATATACTACTGGGAAAGTCTCAAAATGTACTAGCCTTACTTTAGTTCTGCTTCTGGTGAATTGTTCTTGATACCTGAAGTATGTCAACCCAGAAGATGGGTTTGTGTGTGTGTGTGTGTGTTTGTACTTAAAATCTCAGCCTGAGAAAGTCTCAGAGCTACACTGGGATTCTGAACACCCAGTGTAGTCACCTGCTGATTAATAAAGACTGTCTATTGGCATAAACCCATGTCTGGTTTTCTGGTGAGTCTTCTCTGGTGAATACCTCTCAAAAATGAGGGCAGATCTTATAAACTTGTATTCTTCTAAATGGGGAACCCCAAAAGACATTAATGATTTTCTAGACATTTATGACCTAACAAAGATAAATACAGATTAGATAATGAATATAAATGGGATGGAAGTGGTAACACACCAACCCAAAAAGTCCAGGCTCACACAGATTCAGGGTAGAAGTCTATCAGGCCTTCAAAGCAGAACTAACAGTAAGTTTTTCAAGTGATTTCCTGAAGTAGAAAAGGAAAGAATACTTCCTCAGTTATTTTATGAAGCTGGTTATCCTAATACCCACACCAGATGAAAATGTAGCAATATAAAAAATGTTGGGGAACATAGACATTCTCCATAAATTCTTGAAAAATAATTTCAAGAACACAGGAAAACAGTTGTTCAACATGGTTTATCTGGTTTCGTTCCAGAGACACAGAGATTGTCAACATACACAAATCTATAAATGTAATACATTAAATATATCAATGAATCACACGATCATTTCAATAGGTATAGGAAGGGACCTTGACAAAATCCTTTCATGAAAACAACCCTGAATAGAATAGGAATGGAGGAAGCACATCTCAGCATGACACAGACTTAATGAACTGCAGCCAACATCAGGACACATGGAGAAAAATTCAAGGCATTTCCACTAAGATCAGGATTAAGCCCAGGTAGTCTACACTGTCCAGTCCTGTTCAGTTCAGTGCCTGAGATCTTAGCTAAAGCGGTAAGACAAGAGACAGACAGAGACACACAGGAAGGAAGAAGTCAAAATGTCCTTATATGCAGATAACAGGAACCAACACATAACAGGCTATAAAGACTCCACCAGAAAATTCTTAGAGCTCATAAACACTGTGGGTAAAGTGTTAGGGTACAAAACAACACACAAAAATCAGGCGCTTTCCTAGAACCAA